GGAAGGCTAATCGTACCTTGTCATGCATCCACAGATGCATTTCTAGCAGGTCAAAAGAGGTGATCCTCCCCCTCTATGCGGCACTGGTCAGGCCACAGTTGGAGTACTGCATCCAGTTTTGGGCGCCGCACTTCAAGAGGGATGTGGACAACATGGAGAGGGTCCAGAGGAAGGCCACTCACATGATCAGGGGGCAGCAGGGCAGGCCCTACGAGGAGAAGCTATGGGACCTGAACCTGTTCAGCCTCCACAAGAGAAGGCTGAGGGGGGATCGCGTGGCCTGTTACAAACTAGTCAGAGGGGACCAGCAGGCACTGGGGGAGTCCCTGTTCCCCCAAGCGCTACCAGCAGTGACTAGAAATAACAGTCACAAGCTGGCAGAGGGTAAATTCAGATTAGACATCAGGAGGCGCTACTTCACTGTCAGGGCGGCTAGGATCTGGAACCAACTTCCAAGCGAAGTGGTGCTGGCTCCTACCTTGGGGGTCTTTAAGATAAGGCTAGACAAACACCTTGCTGGGGTCGTTTGACCCCAGTACTCTTTCCTGCCATGGCAGGGGGTCGGACTTGGTGATCTGCACAGATGACCTTCCAACGCTACAAACTATGTAACTATGAAACATGCTATAATCCCAGGTGAACTGTAAACACTGTGCCCGGGAGCAGCTGACTCTGGCATGAACTGCACCAGAGTTTATTGCATCAAACTAATTACACATGTAGATGTACCCTGTAGGCATGACAGCTACTACACGTGATGTAACTTTTTCTATCTGTACATGTTTTAAAAACAATGTTGCATCCTCCTGTTTCCTAGCAGCATTGAGCAGTGGAGGGGCTGGCTGAAGTACAGGGGTGCTACTGTGTGGTGCTGGCTAGCTGGCAAGCAGCCATTACACTTTAGCGCCCTTGTGCCCCAGCCAGCCTGTCACAGTCTACATGTGTGTTTGATCTCATGTAGGTACTCCCCCATAAGATAGTACTGTCCCCACCTGTACTATCTTATGGCAGAGTAAATCTACTGTGCCTTAATACTGGCACATGTGTAGACTGTGACTCTTTACTGCAAAGCTAATGAGTCTACTCTGCAGCAAAGAGCACATGTAGATACACCCACTGGGAGTGTCTACACATGCCTCTATGGTGCTGTTGTTACTGCCGTTGCAACAGCTGTATAGGCACCAGGGCCAGACACAGGCATGGGCGAACTGGGCAGCCTCCCGAGGCCTGAACAGAAAGGGAGCCCAAAAATGGTAATTTTAAAAATATTATTATTATCATTATCTCTGGCCAAGGGGGCCCAGAAGTTCACCTGGGACTGCCAGGAGTCTATGTATGGTGCTGACCGGCACCATTGTAACAGCCATTACTACGCCATGCTAGCAGTGCACAGTGGTTTTTTAGCCCCTAAGTCGCTACAGTGATGTAGCTGCAGCATTATCGTTTGTGCTTGCCAATACTACGTCACCATAGCACGTTGCTACAGCATTGTAGCGTCAAATGTAGACCTGCCCACTGAGTCCAAAATGTTTGTGGCCATAAGAACCGCATGGATCTTAATGACCAAGTATGGTACAGCATATTGAGACTGTTAAACTAGCTGGTTTATTAAGAACATAAGTTTCATTGTTCATTCTCTCTACCTTCCTTCCCTTTCATGTCATCCTTTCTGAAGCTGTTTTTTCCTAAATGTTATCATCTTGTTGAGTCATTAACACCCAGTTGCAGCTAATGCTATTCAAATCCGGGTGCCGGTAATCAAACCAGAATATGTGTCTTGGGAATAATTCTGTTTTCTAGCTCTTCACTGGGCTTGAGTACATAACTTGGGGAAGTCAAACCAAACCTGCATGATCACTGTGTTAGCTACTAGGTCAGTGCTGATAAACACATTCACCTGGGAACAGTCATCCATTTTTTTTTCTGCTGAATACAATATTACGTGTGAACTTTCTTGTGATAAAATCTTGTCTGCATGATGTGAAGTAAAATTGTTTGGAAATATCTACATATTAAAATACACTGACAGTTCTAGCTGTGATAGTGAACTGAGGCCAGTTGTCTGCTAAATTCATTGTTTATCTTTGATGGTGCTAATATCTTGAAATGCATGGGAACTGGAGTTGCCATGCTGCCAAAAAGCTCACATGCAAAAAGTAATATTTTAAACAGTGGTACAAAACAACTTAATTTGTATTAAGAATTACATAATACTCTAGAGTGCAGGAGTATGGTGGGGAGAGGAGTGGGAAAAAAAAAAAACTTTCGCAAGAATGTTAACATCTTCAATTTTCTTTATTGTTATGACTGAAACTGGTTCTTGGTTTGCTATGTGCACTGTTATGATAGTTTGTATGCCTTGCCTAACAGAAATGGCTTTGATTGATTCCTGTTTTTCAACCCTTCATCCTATTTCATTTATTTACTGTATTTGCTTGAATCCAAGATGAGTTTGTTTTCCTTGTTCAACATGGGGGGAATCCCCTCATCTTGGATTTGATTAGAAGGCAGTGTGGGGTGAGGGCGGGTCAGAGTCAGAGAAACCTTCCCACCCACATATGCCCACCCCCACAGCCTTCCCCTCCCTCCTCTCCCCCTGCTGCTTACCATCAGTCATGGCTTCGACCCCATTGCAGCTGCAGCCCAGCCACACATCAGCAGTAGCAGTGGCAGCATCTCTAGAGTCCCAGGAGCTGGTAACAGGGGGCTCAGAGGCTTCAAAGGATTGGTGGCAGGGCACAGGCTGCAGCAAGGGGCAGGTGCGGGTATGGCAAGATTGTAGGAAAGGAGGCAGAGGGTATTGCGGGGGCAGCCACAGGGATGAAGGGGAGATGAGTGATGGGTTAAGGGGCGGTGGTCAGGCTACCTGTTGTCTTGTCTTCCCACCCACCTGCCCTATGCTGCTGCTTTCCCTAGTGCAGCAGTGGGGGGGGGGGGGGG